TTATCGTTTTTTTGCTTTTGATAGCCAAGATTTGTTTTCTTCAAAATCAATGAAAGTGGAATCATAGCAATGAAAATAACAAAGGTGATGAGTCCCCTTGATATTTCCTCTCCTAATATAGACAAAGCCCATATTTTGATTTCCAACCATCAGTTCTGTTTTCTACTGCTGTATTAATTTTCCTATAAACTAATGTTTTATTGATACCTCTCGTTTCCAAACGTTTCATGATTCCTCTGAATCAAACATCTTTTTATAATCAATCCAGGTTTTATTCAACTCTTGCAATTCTCTAGAACCATTTTATAAATCAATTTGATCTTTTGTACCTCTACTTTTCTTTTAATTTCCTTATTTTCCTTATCTCCTTTCTGTTTTATTTGAAGGAAGTTATTTTCTTCCTGATAACTTTGAATGTTATCTATTATGCTATGAGTAATGTAAATATTGTAGACAAGCATGTTATCAGCCTACAGTTTCCTGGTATTACCCCTTTCATTGGGTCTTTTTGAATCAAATAGGTTTTGCCAGTTGCTGATGTCCCCTAGGATGGGAAATAATAAAAAAAGGGAGGGCTTCAACAGATACTATTACAAGTTTTCTAGCTTCAGAAGACAGGAAAGCAAGATGTTTATTTATTCAGACCTATGCAGTTCATTTACTATTTTCCTGTTACCTATGACTTTGTAAGGAATAAGTATTTTTTCTTTTCTTTTTCTCCATATTAACATCCTGTTAGCAAAAGGGAATGTTAAACATTATTATGAATTTTCTGTGTCACTTCTCCATATGCAATTAATGTTTAATTTGGGGATAAGACCAAGCAAAAGCACATTTTTACATATAAAGAAACAGCTATAATTGTATAATTTCTTCCATGATAGAGATAGAAACTTCAATCTTTGTGAGAAATGTATTCTGTTGTAGTGTGCATCATGCTAATTGTTTGCATTTCCTATAAAATTGAAGTTTGTTCTTTCATTAGCTATGCTGTACTGAAATGCAGTACTTTGCTTTTTTAAATTGCCTGTTACATTTTTAGCAATGCAGATTTGTACACGCAGTGGTAGATGTTTGGTTTGGCTTCAAATGGAAATTGATAAGGGAAGATTCTTAAATCCAAACTGCAGGATACAGGGAGACCTTGACTTACAACCAGTCGCTTAACAAACAGTTGAGTTAAGACAGACTCAAAAATAGCTATTTACGATCTGTCCTGAAAGTTACAATTGGTGCACCATTTGGATAAGCTGGATTCAAACTTAATCACCATGACTTGCTTAATTATTGTAGTGACTCACTTAATGACCATGGGTTATAAAATCGAATTCAGTCATGTGATGACTTGACTTACGACTGCAATGACTTATCAAAATTCTAGGCTCAATTGTAGTTATAAGTCAAGTCCTGTAGTTATTTGTTGCAATAGGTTTGCTACAATTTTGTCTCAATTTTCCAGGGAGAGGAACAGCGACTTTTGATGGAACTGCTATTGCTAGTGCGGTTGTCAAAGAACTTTCAGAGAATATTAAGTGTCGTACAATGTTTTCAACGCATTATCATTCTTTAGTAGAAGATTATTCTCACAGTCTCTCTGTACAATTGGGACACATGGTATGTAATATTCTGTGCTTGTAATGGTAGTTTTAGCATTTTTATTAAACCTATGAAATGTTTAAGAACGTTCTTTGTTAAAACAGATTACTACTAAATGAAAACCATCCTTGTTTCCAAGAATAATTAAGAAGAACTAAAATTAGAAAATATGTAAAATTGTTTTCCCTTCATTTCCTAAATAGTGGTAAATTTTTGATCTTTATTGTTAGTCAATTTGCACCAGTGGTATTTAAACATTTGTGAATCCTTTTGAATTTTTAATATTTGTGCAGAAATAAGAACTAAAATATGAACTGTTCTCCACACATCCTAAAACTAAATAGAGAACCCAGTTAAACAAATGAGTTAAAAACATATTTATTTATTTATTTATTGAGGGAAGTGATCCAAAGCAACATGTTTCTGTATGGCAAAAGTATGTAAACCTGTAGGATTATCATTTCATTTGAAGGAGAAATTAAGAGCCAGGTGTTTTGATCAGTTTGAGGTGAGTATTGCATGTGCTGTGTTATTTAAAGAACAGAAATCTGGGTGAATCAAAATCAGATCTTCACAACACAGCTAGGTGGAAGTGTATCATGATTCAAACAAGGGACATTCCTAAGTACCTCCAAAAAAACAGCTGTTGATGCTCACCAGGCTGGAAAAGTTTATCAAACTATTTTTAAAGAGTTTGGACACCACCAGTCCACTCTTAAGCAGATCATGTATAAATAGAGGCAGTTCAACATCATTATCCACCCAAGAGAAGTCAACCAACCAAGAACACACCAAAAATAAGCCTTCAAGCCCAGGTAACCTACAGAACTAAAAGCTTCTCTTGCTTCAGCAAATATCCGTATTCATGACATTATGATCACAAGAACACTGGACAATGCTGTGCATTGCAAGGAGAAGGCCACTACTCCAAATAGAGCATTGTTGCCCATTTACTGTTTGTGAAAGATTCCATGGATAAACCACTATTGGAAAAATGGGCTGTGAATGGGTGAAACCAAAATGTGACTTGAATAAAAAGTGGTTTGTTGAAAGGCAAAATGGAGAACCTTATCCCATCTATAGAACAATATCACAGTCTGGGCCTGCTTTGCTGCCTGTGGCCCAGGATGGTTTCTCATCATTTAGGAAATTGTAATTTTTGAATTGTACCAGCAAATTCTGCAGGAAAAAAAACAAGGTTTCTGAACTCAAGAGAATATGTCATTGTCGTGTGTCTGATTAACGGAACACTACAAAGAACTTTCAGGCATTTTTCTAGCCTAAAAAGCCTTTATTAGTATTACAGAGATGTCAGCACGGCATGGTGGAAATGCTAAGATCTGAATTTCCCTTCCTTTGCACATAACATTCCAGGCATTTCCCCTCCCCTATTTTGGGGTCATGATTCACATCTTCCAATTAACTTGGAGGGCAAAGATTCACTTCCGTTTCTCAGTGCTTTCCTTATATTCTCCTCCCCTTTCACTGTCAACTGATTTAACTCTAAAAATACCAGGCAGTTCTGTATGTATTGTCAAAGCAAGAATATTCAATATTAGCAGTGTTGACAGTCATGCAGTAAGGCAGTGACCTAAACCACAAGTTGTAGAAAGAAGCAGAAGAAAAAGTTTTGGGATGGCCAAGTTAGCATCTTCACGTTAACCCTATAGAAAAGCTGTGGAAGGACCTAAAACAGAAGACTCCCACTAATCTCCCTCAGTTGAAGCTATTCTATAAGGAGGATTGTGCTAAAATTCCTCCAAGCTGATGTGCAAGACTAATCAGAATTGTTTCATTATATTTGTTGCTTCCCAAAGCAGGAACACATTACTGAAAGCAAAGGTTCACATATTTTTGCACACAAATATATAAATATGGAGATTCTCAGTCATCTAGAAGATCATGGTTGTGCCAAAGGTGCTTTTTCAAAAGGTAACTAGACTTTGTTTCTTCACTTCTGAAGATGCTTCTTGGATGAGAAGCGAAACACCTTAAAGGAAAAACAAAGTCCAGTTGCCTTTTGAAAAAGCACCTTTTGAGACACAAATATGTAGTTTTGGATCATTTTCCTCAATAAATAAATGAACAATGTTTTGACATTTATTTAATTAAACAAGACATTTAGACATTTACGCAGAAATATTGAAAATTCAAAATCCACAAACTTTTAAGCACCACTGTGAAATATGTACTTATTTAAAAGGATGCAAAATACATTGTTTGAAACTATTAAGCGACAAGATATATTCCAATGTTGAAATGATCCCATATCTAGCTTGAAAAACTTCTAGAAACAAAATGACTTTTCAGAGTGATTGGTTTCTCTTTTTCTCCTTTTCTTTCATTCTTGAAATATGTATGGTTTGTCTTTGTGGGTTGTACTAATCATTTATATTTATCAGGAGAAATGAAATGTCTATGTTGAGGGTCATTAGAGAATTAAATGTTTCTATGTAGGGCAGTATTTTCAAACCTTGGCAATTGTTAGATGTGTGGATTTCAATTCCTAAAACTCCCCAGCCATTATGATTGTCAGCCATTCCTTCTAGTTTTGATTGCTTAAATTCTGCACATTTGGAATTTATTTATTTTTAAATATTGGGTTGCCTATCTTGAGCAACTACATTATTATAACCGAGGTGTTTTTTAAAAAGCCTAAATTGCTAATGTCATATTCTTTCCAGGCTTGTATGGTAGAAAATGAGTGTGAAGATCCTAGTCAAGAAACCATCACATTCCTTTATAAATTTGTTAATGGGGCTTGCCCTAAAAGTTACGGATTTAATGCTGCAAGGCTTGCTGACATTCCAGAAGAAGTGATTCAGAAAGGCCACAAAAAGGCAAAAGAGTTTGAAAAAGCTGTTCTTTCAATGAAAGTATTTAGGTAAGTTCATCACTTTTCAATTATTCAACAAACTTTTTTATAGAAAAGTAGTCACAAATATTCATTAAAGTACCTGTGCAATTCAAGGGAAGGTTTAAAACAAATGGGGGTGAGAGGTGTTGACAGGGAATGTGAGGGGAGGTAACCCTAGTTTAATCTCCAATCATTGGAGAGTTGTAATTCATAAGTAGAGGACCCATTTCTCAACTAGTTTTAATACTGCTTTGCCCAAAGCAGTATTATCAAAGCTGTGTTAAGGCTTCAATGGGATGAGTGGAAAAATGCATACACCATCTGGATCAGAAAATCCAAAGCTACACTTTTTGTGCTTATTAAAATGGATTGAGGATTGAGTAGTTATGCTGGAATAATTGCATGTTTGATTTTACAGGAATCTTTGTTGGATAGCTGAAGGAGCATTAGCAGCCAGAGATTATCTTGACAAACAAACTCTGCTTCATGTTTGAGACCCTATATAGATTTTCCAGCAGTTTTCAAAGGCAGTATGTAGACAACGCGATGATCTAATAAACTTTATTTTTTAAAAATGACCATTTTCCATTGTCTTTCCTAGGAAATTAAACCCTTTTAATTCTTAGCTACCCTCTACATAATGATTATTGAATACTCCACAATATATTAAGTCTAGATGTTATGGTACATGCATACACTTTCAGGCTGTTGATTACCCACTGTCACCAATACACATAAATGGAAAAAAGCTATGAAACTGTATAGGGCGTCTATATACTTTTTCTCATCTTCATTTGAGCAGGAAATTACAATTGTCAGCAGTTCATAAGAGTAATGTCTAGACTGTTCAATAAAACTGTGAACAGAGTAAAATACAGGATTGTTTTAGGGAGATTCTTACAGTGTACTTTAAAACACAGTAAAACCTCCTCTTGCAAACTGTCACCTGTGTATTTTGTTTTATAGTGCATTATCTCCCAAGAAGTCTCATTAAAACATTGTTTTGTGAGGCGATGTAAATCATGAGGATTGGAAAAAAGGGAAGGGGAGATTCTAACTGCAAAGGATACCAGAAAAATTGCTGGATATAATTTAAGATTAGTGTTCTCTTTCATAGAAAGAACATACATACTGGGACATGAGTACAGTTACAGCAAGTCTAGGTGTGCTAACAAAACAGGACACATTCAAGTACAATAAAGATTTGCTTGAAATTAAAAACTACATGAGATTAAAGCATTAAAATCATCTCAATCTGAATAAATGTTAAAAAACCAAAATAAATGCGGAAGTGCTAGCTCACATTTTTACCATATTACAAAAAAGCAATTGGTACCCATGTCCATAAAGGCAGCAACAAAGACTGCTGCTCGTCTATAGAATAGGACTACTGCAAATGGGACTGCGTTTCAATGCTACTTGTAGAAACACCAGCCTTTTGGAAGTTGCCATCTGTACAAATACGCGGCTTACTTTCTTCACACCTGTCCCTTAGTCTTTACACAGTAATGCTGAAACGCCCAGTTCTGTTATCCTGAGTCAACATATTGCCACTTTCTTTTTGGTAGGTTGAGCTCCATAGTGTCACCGTTTATTATCCATTTTAAAGTCTCTGCAGAATGGGCAAGTATAACTTCCTCAAAAAAAAAAAAAAAAAAAATAACAGTTACAATAGAATGGCAGGACTTTTTTCCCCCTCAAAAGTAACTCAATTGTGCTGCAGTGTATTAGATTCTATAGGAGGAGCAGAGTCATATAGTGTATCTGTATCATGTGTCGGTTCTCCAGCTAGTGTACAGGGATTGGACAATGTTCCAGCGCCACAGTCACAAAAAAACCTGAAAGAGAGAAATCTTTTAAATATTTATTGAAAAAGTTCAACTTATATTTAATAGGTTTTCAGTCAAAGATTATGCAACATACCTATCATGTCTAATAAATTCAACATCATGTCCTTGATGGCACTTCTTAATACAATTTACACATATAGCATTGCGATCTGTAGTATTACATGTATGACATCTACGACAAAATAAAGGAAAATAATTAGGCTTTCCAAGTAAAATCCAAATCTACAGGACAGAAGGATATATCATATTTAATTGCTTACCTGTAGAAATCATGCATCGGATAGCTGGTGTAACTTGATATTTTATATAGACACTGGCCTCTACTAACAGCTTTTTCAATGGCATCTTGATTGTTCATTATTTTATTATCTATATTAAATGGCAGATTTCACAGTATTAGTTTACCATATTAATGTCTGATACACTAAAATCAATCTGAATTGGAAAACTTCAAGTATTCTATTTTCTTAAAATATTCCTTCAGATTTAATTATAATTTCAAAGGAATTTAGTAATGCAAATCCTAATGCAATTCATTACTTCTTAAATACAGCTATCTAAGAGCACCTCATTCTTTGTCAACAGTTTCCCCATCTGCCTTTGGCTTGAATAGTCTATTTTTCTGAGGTCCTGAGAGTATTAAATATTAAATATGTGGTCCCCAATGTTTGGGACTGGTCAAAACTAAAAAAACTGGAGCCTAGACCCTTCACAACGTAACTTCCTTCAGAGAAGTAATATTATGAAATTCTGAATTATCAGAATGCAATCAACTGCATACCTTCCTTTTCTTTTCCTTTTTTGAGACATGGCTACAAATCAAAGAGCTGGAGCTGCCTATCCTTATTTTACAAAAAGTCTAGGGAAGCCAGACTCATTCTTGGAACATAAAAATAATACTAAAAGCTTTTGAGCAGAACTACCACCAAAGTTTTTAAGTGAAAAAGAGGCCAGAAAACCTGCCAAGTGCCAGGGAAGCAAGAGCAAGAAGACAGATATTATGCGTAAATAAGCAATGCAACCAAGTAGAGATTATCAACAAAATAACAAGGACAAGAGGTTAAGAATATAAGAAATCAAGAGAACCATTTATGCAAAGAAGGAAAAAGCCTACTCCAGAGAAAAGTTCATGCAAATATATAGAAAAAGATTCTTAAAACTGATGATACATATGAAAGTTCACAATCTGTAGCAGTCAGGACATGAACTAGCTCTGAATAGAAGATTTTTCTTTACATCAAATTACTACAGTACTCATTACAAAAGTAAGTTCTACTGTGAGATACCTTTCATTCAGTGGATGGCTGACTGGATTGTGCTTTTAACAGTGAAAAAGTTGATACATGTCCTAAATGTTAAGATGATTCCTTATTTTTAAATAGCCATGCTTATGAAAATAGATAATTGTTTACTGTGCAAAAGTAAAAATGTTCTAACAGTTTTGGTATGCTACAAATAAGCATAATTTACGTACCTTTCATTGTCACATTGACCCCAGAGGCTAGAAATAAACCTCCAAAACGATTATTGAAAATCTGATTGCCTTCTAAAGTTGCAGTTGCATGATTTGTTATTTCAATACCTTAGTTAAAAAGAAAAAATATTTTAATAAACACAGAACTTGTATTTTACCAGTTAAGTAATTTCCAAATGGCTTTAAAAAATGCCAACTAGGAAAAAGCACTCATTAGATGCACTCATGCTAAAACTGATGACAACTTTCAGAATTCAAGTATCAACATTTTGTATTAAACATTGGAGCATTGCTTTAGGAAACAGGTGGTTAAGTTCAATCCTATGAATACAAAAGGATGGGGCAGGGCAAGAAATGAGTTTTGGGATTATATAAAGGGCTTTTCAAATTTTCAAATGAAATTTTCCTAAAAACAGCAGCAACCCAAAGCATGAATTACTGTACATTAATTTTTATTCAACATAAAATACTGCTATACATAAAGAAATTTTTAAAGTTAATTATGTCAGTAGCATTGCAGTTTTTACTTGGGAATTATACATGTTTACTGTGTGCAGCCTGCCATTCTCTTTGAGATGCTCTAGTATAACAGCCTGGTATGTTTATGTGCAAGTTTGTTCTTAAAGAGTAACATGACATCTTATGCCAAGACATTCAACAAAAGCAACGTGCTGCTTTAACTTTGGTAAATCTCAGTAATTATTGATTAAATATTGCATCCAGTTTTGGTCACCACGGTGTAAAAAAGATGTTGAGACTCTAGAAAGAGTATAGAGAAGAGCAACAGAAGTTTAACGAAGAGAAGGACGAGGTGGGACATGATAGCAGTGTTCCAATATCTCAGGGGCTGCCACAAAGAAGAGGGAGTCAAGCTATTCTCCAAAGCACCCGAGGGCAGGACAAGAAGCAATGGATGGAAATTAATCAAGGAGAGAAACAGCCTAGAACTAAGGAGAAATTTCCTAATAGTTGGAACAATCAGTGGAACAACCTGCCTCCAGAAGCTGTGAATGCTCCAACACTGGAAGTTTTTAAGAAGAGACTGGACAGCAATTTGTCTGAAATGGTATAGGGTTTCCTGCCTGAGCAGGGGGTTGGACTAGATCAGTGGTTCTCAACCTGTGGGTTGGGACCCCATTTGGGTTCAACGACCATTTCACGGGGGTCGCCAAACATAGTCCGCCATTTTTTCCCCTTTTCCTTAGCTGTGATACTCCCTTTTATTCTATTGGCTTTTGAAAGCCAATAGAATAGACTCTCTTGAATAGAGTCTAATTCTATTGGCTTTCAAAAGCCAATAGGAATTGTCCAGGCTGTCTCTGCCCTGCTGAGCCCGCCAAAAGTCCTATTCTGCCTGTTGAGTAGTCCCCGACTTACGACCGGTTGGGGGGGGTCACGGCATTAAAAAGGTTGAGAACCACTGGACTAGATGAACTCCAATGTCCCTTCCAACATTATTTATTTATTTATTTATTTATTTATTTATTTATCTATCATCACACAATAAGCCAGATGTTCAGACTGGATTTGGCATTTTTTCTACCTATCAAGTCTTTACGAAGAACCTGGGATAGGCAGATGTGGATGTTTGATGGTATTGCAGATATCGTCACAGGATGGAAGCAGTTCCTAGTAAGGCCGCCTTTTGCAATTGACTAATGGCAAATTTGTCTATTATTATTATCATTATCATCATCATCGGCTAGTCTTTGAACATTCCCGAAAGGACATGTTTATACAGGGTAGTATAATTGGTAGTATGACGGGGGATTGAGCAGATAACTACATTTTATGAAAAATTACAGATCTTTTGATTTCAACATAAAGCAATTCAGCTCTTATTCACAATGGCAATGTTGGTTTGGGATGATGCCAGAAGAAACTACTTTTTTTCTAAACAAATTAACATAACTACCACTAACATTTGGGATAAAGTAACTGCAAATATCATGAAGAAATGCTAAGCTGTTTGAAACATGGTGCTTTGGCTTTGACACCTTCTAAAAAAAAAAGGAAAAACCACAACTGAACTTTTATATAATAGCAAAATTTTTGTTTTTGAAATCTATTAAAATGTCAATGTGTGTCTCCCAGGATATATATTCAGTACTAGCAAGGCCCTGCCACCATTACTAAGCTGCTTAAATCTGCCACTCTTCTGCGCTAAAATCAATACAAATCAAACACAAACCTGCCGCAAATCCATCAAATATTCTATTTTTCCGTAACACAGGATGACTATTTGTGCTGATAAGAACTCCAGCTTGTGCATTCCTGAAGATATCATTTTCTTCAAGAAGGCCTAATACCAAAACAAGAACATTAATTTCAGTCAGACATTTACTCCTATAATATGCTAATATTAGCACAAATTTCCTTTTAATATTAATAAGCATTTTATGTTGAAAGCTAGCATAGCTGAATTCCTATGACCATTTAATAAAAAAAAACCTTAAATCTGAGACCTACATGAGCTAATGTTGCATACTGTTTTCTTCAATCAATTCTACAATTGTGCCCCCCACCACAAAAAGGCTAAAATTACACCAGTGGAATTTTGAATAATGTACGCCAAACTATTTTGGATGGCTACGAGAGCTAGTTCCATTTTTACAGTTAGTGGGAACGATTAAGTTTCTTAGCCAACCAAAACAATCAAATTAGGAGCTGTTTTTAAGTTAGTGGTTGCTTGGCCAAACTAGTAGAACCACAATATTTGAACTTATTTCTCTGGTGTACATAAGAAATTTATTGTCCTTCAAGGATAAAAAAGAACATATATTATCCATCTCTTATAAAGAATAGTTTAAAGGCAAATGGTAAGTTAACATCAATTCCATCTCCCAGAAATGCTATGGAAAGCAGTAATCAGCCAATCTGGGGCTAGCATTTTCAGTTCCATTCAAGTGAAGATTCTGAACACATTTTAGATATGGAATTTAGTTTTTATTTTTATCAGCACCAGACTATTAGAAAATATAATACAAATAAAGATATGGTAAAAATAAGAAGATACTAACCTCTACCTCCATTAAATATGCAGATTCCCCCATCTCTGCCATCGTGGATTTTGTTTCTTCTTAATGTAGGATTACTATCTGTCTTAATCCATACTCCAGCCATTGCATTGTCAAAAATTTCATTGTCTTCTATAAAACCAAGCCCTTTATAAGGTAAAAGCAAAATTTAAGACCTTAGCAATGTGGGAAAAGTTTGCATTTTTTAAAATTAAGCAAAGTAAAGTTGAACTTACCCGAATTATAAACAAGAATTCCACCATTCTGGCCTCCCCAAATCTTGTTGCGCCTAATTTTGGGGTTACTTCCAGTTCTGTGCATAAACAAACATGTTACTCAAAATGTACTTATAATTTATTACTGATAAAATAAATTCACTTGTAAGTAGAAGGGCACTGCTAGCAATGTTAACATTTTATTTATGTAGGTCTGGTGAGTTTGGACCAAAACTAGAACGCTAATATCTCTTCTCACATTCATTCATTCATTCATTCATTCATTTATGAGACTTATATACCGCTTTAAGTGCAAGCACTCTCTAAGCGGTGTACACCAGTAAGCAATGTATATATATATATATTTACATTGCCCCCAACAATCTGGGTCCTCATTTTACCTACCCCGGAAGGATGGAAGGCTGAGTCAACCTTGAGCCGGTGAGAACACAGTCAGCTAAAGTGGCCTGCAGTACTGCACTCTAACTGCTGCGCCACCTCCTGGCACATATACAAATAATTTATTTGCATTTATCTCAATGCCAAATCTTGCATACTCTGAGATTGGCCTCTGAAGGAAATGTATTCAGGTGGACATGGAATTTATTTATTTAGGGCAAACAGCATATGCATACATACTACTCACTTCATAGCATTATTTAGCATATTTAAACCTTATTGGTGCATATCGTTTGCTTTTTCTTGCACTTTCTCTATGTAGGGCTTTTTTTTTAACCTTTAAACAATTTTATGTCACAGAGAACAGGGTAATGCACTCTTTTCAGCCCAAGAGTTACTTCATTCCCCTTCCTCCAATAGTCCTATTCCAGATCACTGCCAAGAGCTGTGGGGAAGTAGCTATCTTGGGGGAAGGAGTGTTGCAGAGGGGGGAAAATCTCCTCCCCTCAATAGGGTCTATGACAATATTGAAGAAAGTGGTGGAATAGAAATATTAAAGAAAGGATGCAAAAGGAGGGACAAAATGAAATGTGAAAGACAAAAATTAAAATACATTTTTAATTATTTTAAATAATTGAATTGTTAAATTGTCCTGCGGTGAGTGGTCCCGCAGGAAATTGGCCGTGGCAAGTTATCTCATTCCACTTCCAATAATCCTGCTGCAGCTTTTTTTAACTGCATGTTATCAAACAGCCATTGAACAAACTGACTCGGTTTGGGCAAGACATTGGGACAAGAGCACAGGCATAGGGCTAGGTTGAAGTTATGGAATTGACTGGCAGCAGGTTTCTCCTCTATGTGGTTGGTAGTGGATATCATGGCACCACATATTAACTCAATTCCTTCTCATGCAAATATTATTAGTCAAGCTAATCTCACTTAGTAAAGTAAGCAAAGGGGATGCTTCCAGATAAAAGAATCTCATTTTGAAGTAAAGACTGAAAAGAAAATGGAACCATTAAAGAACATAACCACATCCTCTCTGGATGAGTTTTGAATACTTATCATTTGACTACAAGCAGAATTCCTGAACAGAGTGATAAATTTCACTATTTTAAAAGGACTCAGATATGACTAGATTTAATTTGTTTTCTCTGTGACCCTCATATTTTGTTGTTTTTGCTTTCAAAAATATGGTTTTCCCCCCAATGGTAACAAAATTATAATTATATAATTATAATTATAGCATTTCCCCCTCCCCCAATTTAAGGATTTATCACTTTCAATGAAGTTCCTCACTGTATCAAACTTATTTCTGAGAGATGCTAATTTGGAGAAAGGAACATTCTCAAGGAAGCCAAAGTGTACTGATAAGATAAGCATGTTTCATGACAGACTATTCATATAGATACAAAACAGTTAATCATTCAAAGTCAACCACTTAAGTCCCAATTAAGCTTATGCTGAGTATAATTCTAGCCAGTGAATGACAACTGTCCTTCCCCATTTGTAGTTGGATTATCATTTGAAAAATCACTCTTATTAAAGAGAAGAAAATAGTAAGATATACAAACAAACACTGACAGACACAATCCCATGTGTGGATCATTTTAAAGGAAAAGGAAAAGAGGTCATTGAATGAAAACAATAGAGCTATATACTAAGCCTCTTTTAAGGAAGTAAATAAAAGTATATTTTACCTGATTTGAACTCCTGAGTACATATGGTTATAGATATCATTGTCTTCTAATACTCCATGCCCATTGTCATAGAAATAAACACCAACCTAAAGCATAAACATAAAAAATAGTAAAACATTTGAAACTCGTGTTTCTGTAACTTACATAATAGTAAGCAACATACCTGTTTACCACTATGTATTCTATTTCTTCTTAAAACTGGAGTGCTTCCTGTTGTAACCCAGACTCCAGCCAAGGTATTACTGTAAACTTCATTTTCTTCAATCACACCTTGACCTTTTTCATGCTGAAACAAAATGAAAGTATGCAAATCAAGTGGAATTTGGTCAATTCCTAGGGGTTTTTTCTGTTCAACGTTACAAGCAAATGGGGGGAGGGGTATCTACAAAGTGAGAAATGTGTTTTGTTCAAATCTGAAGCAAACATTTGGGGACCAAGAAGTTTGGTCAATCTGTTTCAGATAGGCCATGGTCTAACCAAACCAAAAGCGAGCATTTTGGGTTCCAGCATTTGGCTAAAACAAAAATCCAGGACAGGTAAAGTGAGATTGATGCACCTCATCTCTCATTCCACCACTTCTTTGTGTGGCCTGCGTGCCAGGCTGCCTACTGATCCTCTTTTCCCTTAATTTCCTCCTTAGATGCCCCACTGACCCAACTTACCTGATTTTGTCAGAGCCTTCCTCTCCCTCACCTCACCTTAATGCTGCTGCTTCTTTATTTATTTTCCCCACACTACACCACCACTGCTTAAATTAAACACATATTCTGATCTGCCACAATCACACAAAACTGCATGCTCTCATACATGAAATATTATAATATCTAAGAATAGCACTCATTCTGCTTTCTCAACTGCCCAGAGTCAGTGGAAGTTGAATGCATAAAAATCAGATGGATGGGTGGAGTGGGGGGGGGGAGAGGAGTTTCTTTTATAAATACTACTGTTAAATCAAACTACAGCTCACACTTTGTCAGCAGTCCAAGATGTATATAAGGATTGGAGCAAAGGAGGAGCACATGTTGACAGCAAACTCACCCCTCCTTTTCATGTACATTAGAACTCTTATAGGAGTTCATGTTCATGATGTGATTTTTTTTTCTTTTCTTCTCCTAATTATCTATACAATTAATATTGAAAATAAAGCTAAATAATGAATCTTCCATGTTTACTACAAAACTATGCTTACCACATATATACCACCATGTTGGCCATCGTGAATCTTATTGTGCCGAACAATAGGACAGCTATTAGTTCGAATTTGTATTCCTGCTAATGCATTCCCTGTTGGAATAGGAAAAATGTAAGAAAAGGTGGCATATAGGTCACAAAGAATATTAAATGCAACTGAGCAAATATTTGTTTACCATAAATGTCATTTCCTTCAATAAGACCTCTTCCATCACCAAATATGTAGACTCCACCTTGATTTCCATTAAAAATTGCATTGCCCCTAAAGGTTTGAAACCAGAAAATAACTTTGTCAGGTATGAACTTTTTTAAACTAGGTCATCAAATTAATTCCAATTGCTTCAACCTGATCTCTCCTTCCTCTGCCCCTCCCCAAGAGTTTTTTGCAGTCTGCTGCTTATGGGGAAGAGGGAGAGGCAAGGGACAGAGAAAGCAAGAGAACAGGGTATCATTGAGAAAAAAAAAACATTTTTAGTCCTGGACCCACCAATAGTTTCCTTTAGTTCTTCAACAAATCACATAATACAATATAGTCTTCAACACAATAAAAGATTACCTGTCTCTCAATTTACTTTTTAAATGTTATAATTGCAGGTATAATATGCTCTTAAACTGGAGATCTTAGAATACAAGGTTTCATATCCAGATAACTTCTGGGTCCTGCTTCAAATGCTAATTTAGAAACTAGATTATTTTCAAATGACTAAAATAACCTACAGAAAATATTTTGCAATCCATCTAGGGTAAATAATAAAGATAGTACCTTATGGTTGGATCGCTATTTGAAGTAATCCATACACCAGCAAAATTGTTTGCATAGATTTTATTTTCTATAAATTGTCCTCTTCCTTTTTCATGAACATAGATTCCTCCAGTTTGCCCATGGTGGATTTCACAACGAACTACAGTAGGATTTGCATATGCTTTCACTTCAAAACCAGCTATTCTATTTCTATGTATGTTGCAACTTTCAAAATAACCCTAAACACAAGACCAGGGGAGAGAAGAGGAAGGGGAGAGAGAATGTTGGGAGGCAAGGAGAAACAATAGGAAGAAATTATCTTCTGACCAGCTACTTAACAGTTGTAATGAAATAGTATACAATAATATGTAATACTATAGTATACAATAATATGTAACTATTGGCATTATTTATTTATTTACAGTGCATTTTAGTCCCTGCAGTTTTCTTGCCAACATTTTGGGAAGTGGTTTGTTCTTGTCTTCTTCCTAGGTCCCAATGAGAGGGATTGGCCCAGCTAGGTTTATGCCTAAGGGAAGCCTAGAATTCAGTTTCCCAATTTCTAGTTTGGTGCTTTAACCACTACACGGAGCTGGCTGTTATTTATTTCTACGACATGAAAATAATATTATTAAGAAAAATGTTATTGTATTCTTTCACATCATCTGTTGGACCCTTAACAGCAGTAGAATATATTAAACCCATTTTTTCAATTGAAAAAAAGTCTTCTATACAATTATAACTTTTAATTTCAACCCTAGATTATTTTCACAAGACGGATTTACATAGCAAAAATTATATATGGTAGAGAGCTGTATAATCCTGGCCTACAAACTACATGCAGCTTTCAATCCAGTTTTTGCAACACTTAGAGCCTCTTTCCCAATTGTGCTGATTGAATTCCACAATACATTGCAGATTTTTTGGTATGCTATTTTAATTTTTAAGTATTAAAGTTAACATAGATGTATTATTAAGTTTAACTTTTGAAACAAAGGCCAACATTTTCTGCCTCTTCCAGAAAAGTTCTCATGTCATCACCATGACTTGTGATCTCAGTCTAAAGGATAAGAAAAGCTCAATAGTGCACGAAAAAAGAAAGGAAAAGAAAAGAAATGCTTCTATTGTTAGTCTATGCATCTAAGTTTGTTTCAAAATATCTTTGGGGGATGCTAACAGTTTTGAACATGAAATTTTTTAAATGCAGGAAATCCATTCAAACAGAGAACAACATATTTTGAAACAAATTTTTAAATATTAAATCACAACATTCAAACTTCCTCCAGATCTGTAATGAAGTATGGTTTTAATAAACTGACTTTTATCAGATTTTATTTTAGAGGAAAGTGTCAATGTAGCCTCTTGATTATTAATTTGGAATAAAAGGATTTTACATTGACTTTGGATTAAAATTAGGTAAAATCACAGAATGACCTGTCAAGTCTGGTGTTCTTTTTCTGAAGGCAAACATTCTGTCTAGCAATAATATTTTAAAAGAAGCAGCATCAAAGCTTTGCAGTGACATACGGTTAATAAATAAATATTATTTCTGGCACTCAGGGAATATAATAAAGATAATTTATGCCAGAAATATGGAAGCTCAAGTCAGGTTCTTGGCAATAATGTCCAATGTTTGAAATGAAAGAACCAACATAGAAACACATTTAAAACTAACTACTCATACTGGCAACCAAGAAACAGTTCCAACAAGTGCTAAACTAACATTTAACTAACACTAAATATTATTAAAAATGGCAACTTGTAACACTTAAAGTCTTGTGTTGTTGCAGTACCAAGAAGCAGAAATTCAAATACACCCCTATCAAAATACTAAATATTTCTGAATTGGAACTGTAGACAATTCCAATTCAGTACATGTTAAATATGATAGTTTCCCAGTTAGGTCAAGATGTAATTGTAAAAGGGGCGTTGTCTTACCTGAACGCCTTTTCTCAGCAGGATGATGTAGAGTCCAAATGGATGGGTTCTATGACGGCCTTCCTGCCTGGCAGACTGGGTAAAAACTTCGGCCACACCCCTTCCTCTGTGCGTGACCCCAGTTTTGACTTAGGCGAGAAACTTTGTTGGAATTAACATTGCAGCTCTTTATTATATCATTATTATCTCCCTGCCTAGACCTATCCTCTGGGTGGGCTTGGACTCTACATCATCCTGCTGAGAAAAGGCGTTCAGGTAAGACAACGCCCCTTCTCCAGCAGGATGGCTGTAGAGTCCAAATGGATGGGACATACCAAAGCCCTCATGTCCCCCTGGGAGGGAATGTCTAGGCTACCGAACTCTGAGCAGATACGACTTGTTGAAGAACTCTTCTGCCAAAAGCCGCGTCTGCTGCTGCTAGGGAGTCTAAACGGTAATGTCGAATGAAAACCGAAGGTGAGGACCAGGTTGCGGCCCTGCAAATCTCTTCCACCGGAGCTTGCGTTAGCCACGCCGCAGATGTGGCTGCGCTCCGAGTTGAGTGGGCAGTCACCTGAGTGGGTGTTGGCAAATCTTGTGAGACGTATGCCTGTGCTATGCAGGCTCTGATCCACCTGCCTATGGTGGAAGGAGATACCTTTTTTCCCATAGTTGCTGGTTGAAAGGACACAAATAATGCTTCAGTTTTTCGGAAAGCCGAGGTGCGTTTCACGTAGAAACACAGCGCTCTCCGCACGTCTAGCTTGTGCCATCTGTGTTCTAGCCTATGTTTGGGTCTTGGACAGAAATCAGGAAGCGTAAGTTCCTGAGATCTGTGAAAGATGCTATTTACCTTCGGGATGAAGGTCGGGTCTGGTCTAAGAACGACCCTATCTTTGAAAAAGGTACACAGATCCTTCCTTACTGACAGTGCTGCTAGTTCTGAGATTCTCCTTGCTGAAGTAATTGCCACAAGGAAAGATACCTTCAGTGATAGGTGATGGAGTGAGCATGTTTCAAGAGGTTCGAAGGGTGCTGATGTCAAGGCTAGAAGGACCTTAGGCAGGTTCCAGGACGGGTACCTGTGTATGACTGGGGGCTTTGTGTTAGATGCCCCTTTTAAAAAGGCACTAATCGCTGGATGTTGTGCTAGGGAAGTTAAGTTGTCGCAGGAGAGTACAGTTGAGAGGGCCGATATCTGTCTGCGGATAGTATTGACTGACAGGCCCTTATTAAGACCCTCCAATAGGTAATCTAGGATATTAGGGATAGATACTGCGGTCGGGTCTAGGTGAAGCGAAGCGCACCACCTACAAAATCCCTTCCATGTAGCGTCGTAAATCCTATTAGTGGACGCTCTTCGTGATGCCTGTATGATCGATATCACTCCTGCCGAATAAGATTGTTTAGTTAAGCTTTGCCGCTCAAATGCCAAGCGGCTAGATGTAGCCACTGGGGATCTGGGTGTACAAGCTTGCCCTGACTGAGTTTTACCCTGTCCGGGGGAATCCTCCACGGAGGTGATATCGAAAGGTCCACGAGGTCGGCAAACCACGGGCGCCGTGGCCAGTGAGGGGCAATGCAGACCATCTCTGCGCCCTCCAGGATCATCTTGCGTATGGTCGCCGGTATTAATGGCAGCGGTGGGAAGGCGTACAGGAGTTGCGCCGGCCACCGGCACCTGAGAGCATCCGTTCCCTCCGATCCCGGGGACGGGAATCTGGAGAAGAACCTGGGGAGTTGTGTGTTCTTGTGGTTGGCAAATAGATCTAGGTGCGGTTGTCCGAACCTCCGGGAGATCTCCTCGAAGAGAGCCGGGTCCAGACGCCATTCCGACTGGTCCACCTTGGCTCTGCTCAGGGAGTCTGCCTGGGTGTTTGTCTCCCCTGAGATGTGTTCCGCTCTGATGGAACTCACATTGGTTTCTGCCCACCGAGCCAGAGCCAATGCTTCCTTCATTAGTTCCACTGATCTCGTTCCTCCCTCCTTGTTTACATGTGCCTTGGCTGCTACATTGTCTGTTAGCACGAGGACGTGCCTCCTCGTTACTAGGTGAGAGAAATGACGGAGGGCCAGGTGTATGGCCCGGAGCTCTAGCCAGTTGATGCTGTGTGACAGGTCCTTCTGTCCCCACTGGCCCTGTGCTATCTGGGTTCCCAGGTGGGCTCCCCATCCGAACAGGCTCGCGTCTGTCGTGAGTGTGACCCTGTTCGGTTCCCTGAATATGCTCCCCTTGAGTGTCGTGGGGGATAGCCACCATTTTAGTGATTTCATCACCTGTGCTGGTACCAGCACTCTCTTGTTGGAGGTGCTGAGGTTCCTCCTCTGGTAGGGTAGGAGGAACCACTGCAACTCCCTCGAGTGGAGCCTTGCCCATGGGATGATGCCCATGCAAGATATCATCTTCCCCAGGAGCTTCGAGAGTTGTAGCAAGGACACTCTCCTGATCTTTTGAATTTGGTGAATTAGCTTGGATATGCTGATCAGTCGCTCCTGGGAAAGGTATACCCTGCACTGTGACGTGTCTATCACCGCGCCCAGGTGTTGCAGTCTCCTTGAGGGAATGAGGTGGCTCTTGTTTAGATTGACCGAGAATCCGTGCCCCTGTAGGGTTCGGATTGTGGTCTCGAGATCTGCCCTTGCTTGCTCCCGAGGTCTGGATTGAATCAAGATGTCGTCCAGATAAAACTGAACGCGAACCGGGATCAACCTGAGATGGGCCGCTATTACAGCTAGGATCTTGGTGAATACCCTTGGTGCTGATGATAGTCCGAAGGGTAATGCCCTGTATTGGTAATGCCGACCCGCGTAGGTAAATCTGAGGAATTTCCGGTAGCTGGGATGGATGGGGATGTGTAGGTACGCCTCTGTGAGATCTATTGAGGATAATAGATCGTCTTCCCTGACGCTGGCTAGGATGGATTTCAAGGAGTGCATCTTGAACCTCCTGTACTTTATGAAATAGTTCAGGCCCTTCAGGTCCAAGATTGCTCTCCACCCTCCTGATGTCTTTGGGATAACGAAGAGGATAGAATAAAATCCTCTTCCCTCCTCTTCCTTTGGTACCCTCTCTATGGCCTGAATTGACAGGAGGTGGGCTATGGCCGAAGTTATCAGCCTCGTCTTGTGTACTCTTCTGGAGATGGGACATCTGATGAACCGGTTTGGTGGGGGAGAACAGAAGTCTAAGGTCAGGCCATGCCTGATCGTTTCCAGAACCCAGGCGTCGGTCGTGGTCTGCTCCCAGACCTCGATGAAATTTCCTAACCGACCCCCAATGGGAGTATCCTGTTTGGCGTCACTTGGTACGCTTAAAGGATCTGCCTCCCGCTCCCCTATATGGGCGTCTGGACTGGAACTGGCCCCTGGCTCCCGGGCTTTGGCGATCCTGGGTTCGATCCTGTCTCGGGTAGAAGGATCGTGAGCCTCTGGGCCAGTCCCAGGATTGCCCTGATCTAAAGGGCTGTCTCCATTCCCAGGGGCTTCCTGGGCGGGAGCCCTGTCTCCGGAAGTCCTGACTGCCTCTCCTGTCTAACTTCTTTGATGGATGTACTAGGATTTTTTTCTTGTCTCTGCCTTCGCTGACATGTGGGTCCAGAATGGAACCAAATAGGGCTGCTCCACTGTATTTGGACGTCGAAAGACGCCATTTGGACCTCAGGTCTGTCTTCCAATTTTTGAGCCACAGTAGCCTACGCGAGGCCACTGTGGCCGCAATGGATCTTGCCGCATACTTTGTTGCGTACAGTGAAGCGTCAGACACGAATTGCGAGGCCGCGAGGAGCTTAGCCAATGTTTGGTGTACTCTGACCTGGTCTGGAGGCACCGTGCCTTGCAGTTCCCTCAGCCACATGATACTGGCCCTCGCGAAGAATGATGATGAAGTGGCTGCTCTGGCCGCCCAGGCTGCAGCCATATGGGAACGCCGGAGGGAGTGTTCAAATTTCTTCTCCTCAGGTCTCAAGACCTCCGCCATGTCTCCTGGAATCGCGGAGGTAGAAAATAATGAAATCAAGGGGTTATCTACAGTAGGAACCTCTAACATGTTAGAGAAGGAGGGAGATAGGTTGAAAAGCTTTCTTTCCGCGCTGTTAGGTGCCGGTGGGCTTGCAAGTGAGGACCATTGTTCCTCCAGCGTGGTCATAAAGACCTCCGCACATGGAATGTACTTATCTTGTGGAACCTTTTTGGCAAATAGAGGATTGGCCTCCTTGCTTGTTGAGGGCTTCTCATCCTGTACTGATGTTAGGTTGACTGTGGAAACTGCCTTTATCAGGAGTGATTTTAGGAGCGCTGGGTTAAAGAGGCCAGAGCTCGTCGCCTGCTCAGGTGCAGTCTCCTCGTCCTCCGAGAGGGGCATGTCTGACATGTCAAGGTCTACTGAGTCACCCTCTCCCAGTTGAGAGGAAGTTTCAGAGGTGCTGGTAGGGGGTGGCCTAGCCCGTCCCTTACGGGGTGTGTGAAAGGCCACTTGCCCCTTAGAAGCCATGAACTGGGAGAATGCATCCTGCATGAATGCATGAAATTGTGCCGACCATATGTTCTCCTGCGCCTTGTCGCTGGGGTGAGGCGCTGGAGAGTGGTCGGGTGAAGAAGCTGGTGAGGAGGGATTGGAGGAATCTAACTGTTCAGTTTCCCCAGGAGGAGACCAAGTCTTGAGCACTTCCTCGGCAGTAGGTTCTGTGCTGGGTGCCACCGCTGGGACAGGGGAAACCAAATTTGTCCCATTGGCATTGGTTCTCTGTGCCCTGCTAATTTGCCTTTCTAAAGCCAAATGTCTCCTCAAAGCCTCTCGCTCAGCCGTTTTAGACTGTCCCTTCTGAGAAAGGTGCTTTGTTTTAGCTTTCTTCTTCCCCCCCACCTCTGATTCAGAAGATCTGCGTTTTTGTTGTTGCTGTGGGGGGGACAATTGAGGGACCTGCGTGACTGAATACGAGACATTGTCTGCCATTGTGCCAGACACCCCGAGTAGGTAATGCCTGGAGTGGGGGAATAAGATACGCAGATCAGATGCAGATGCTTGGGGCTGAGCCCTCCTCTGCCTATACAAACAATGGCCAGACAGACAGGAGTCTTTGGACAGAAGATCCTGCAAGGCAGTGACTAAAGGCCACTATAGGAACAGTCAGGGAAAAATACTCCTCCTCACCTCCTCACCTAGTCCAGACAAAGTGCAGTTTATATCTCTTTCTCCCCCAGTCTGTGGCTGTGGCAACAGACCACGATCAGAACGGTTCTCTTTCTTTTCCCTCTTCCTTCCTCTTGTCTCAATTTCTTGAGATAACCTCAGATCATAGCATAAGGGGTCCCCCTTTGTCTGCAGGGAAATGGAGTCCGGGTGGTGGCCCCACCCCCAAGGGAAAAACGGCGGGTAGATCCGCTCGTTCAAAATGGCGAATGGGGAAGAAGCCACGCCTCCCAATGGTAGCCCGGGAATCCACGAGGTTCAAAACAATGGCGGATCTTTGAATTTAGCAATCAGGGAGACTCCTTTAGTCTTAAGAGGGCTGCGCCTCTCCTCTGAGGAGAAAGAAAATTTAGCGCTAGTTCTGCTCTTGTCGGGCTGCTTCTCGCGCCGCTCAGCTGATCTATGCCGAGCGGCGCCGCGGTTTGCCGCTTCCCGTGCGGCTCAGCTGTTTCGCACTGAGCGGCACCTCGTTCTGTCGGCCAAACCACTCAGCTGTTTGGCGGACCCGGAGGGCGACGAGCAACCCGGTGTGAGGTCCCCGCGCCAAACAGCTGCTCGGCGGGCCGGAAATCGGCGAGCGATCCGGCCCCGCTCCAAGCCTCCCGTTAGTCCCTGACGCCCCACTCACGAGTCCGCCGATCCTGGCTGCATCTCTCAAGTCTTATCAGCTGCCAGGAAACTTTTCTTTCAACTGGAGGAAGAGGGGATTCCTTTTCTCTCTCTCTCTCTCTTTTTTTTTTTTTGAGTTAAATTAGTTTTGTTCTGAGAGCTGCCTCTCGCACTTCTACCAGGCTTCGAGACTGAGTCAAAACTGGGGTCACGCATAGAGGAAGGGGTGTGGCCGAAGTTTTTACCCAGTCTGCCAGGCAGGAAGGCCGTCATAGAACCCATCCATTTGGACTCTACAGCCATCCTGCTGGAGAAATAGCAAAACTAAGATATTGTGATATGGGATTTATGCAAACATCATCCGAACTGCCACTACATATCCAAATATAAAACGAAGAGAGAAAAAACTCATTCATTTCAAGCTTTCATTGTTTGCAATTCCCACTTTATGTCTTGCTGGAATATAAAACAACAGTGCCTTTGTAACCAAGATTGGAAGGGGGAAAAAAGTAAAGAGAATTTGCAGTTATATTTTTGAGACAACAAAAAAAAAGCTGCCACATTAATATACAAGTATTACAGAGACAATTCTGAGCAATGATTGAAAGATTGAAAATAGCATTAGAAGAGTTTAGGTTTTTAAGTGGCAATTGATTATGTCTCTTAAATACACAGAGAATAGGAGTTATGGAACATAAGGATGTCTTGAAGGCAATTGTTTCTCAAGCTTTTTGACTTCAATATCCCTGTTAAACATACTATATACTTGTTCTATAGATGCAAGAGAATTCATTACTTTGGTAAGGACACTAATGAGCTAACAAAAACATCCTGAATGTTCACAAAAGCTTCACTTCCCAAGAGACATACATACACATAAAAATCTGTCTGCAAAACACATCTATCTATATTTGCTTGTGTACTTATGCACACAAAGAAATATATATACATTACCATGCCGTGGTCAAATGTGAAAACACCAACATCGCGCCCGTGATGAATGTGATTTCGTCTTATAATAGGGTTTCCGTGGTTTTTAACCCAAATCCCAGCTAATGCATTATTAGAAATCTCATTATCCTCATATATCCCCTAAAAGGTTGGAAAAGAATGGCTTTAGAATGAGTTAAAATACTTAAGAAAACAATAAAAGAGATAGCAAAAAAGAAAAATGCAAGAAGTGTTACCTGTGCATGATCTGTGATGTAGAGTCCAACATTTTCACAGTCACTTATGTTACAATGCTTGATAGTGGGACAAGCCCCTTGGCCACTAACACAAACTGCAGAACCAACTGAAAATGAAGTTTGTACATATAAAAAATGAAATAAGTGTTTGACTTTCATAATATATGTGAAACAAATGCGACCAATTGTTTTTGCAACTAGAATAACTTGAATAGTTATTGCAATTTATGTAATCTTGGCCTTTCAAAATACAATACTAAGCTAAGTAAATTACTTTTTATAGAAGACAAAGAGCAGTGTAGCAATCTATAGTACTAAATTAAGAATATACAAAATACTCTGCTCTAGAGCTCTGTGGAGTAAGAACACAACAAACCACCTCCTGTTCTGGAGGTCTACCAGACCACTCCCAGAACAGCTGGACTGGGTTGAGCTGTAAGAAGCATAACATTTTCAAGTACTCCTCAGAATGGAACTTTTGCATATCCCTACCATAAATTATCTGTTAAGGACACCTGGGAACAAGTGAAGAAACATTTAAAAAGTAAAGCTCATTAGGCTGAAAGTTCATATTAGCACATGAAATTTCACCACCTAGGAAAGCAGGTTCTATTACACACATACACACAATTTAGATATCTACAAATAATATTCGCTACTTAATTATTTCTACAAAGAAATTACTTACCTGTACAAGTACTTCGAATAATACAATGATCTATTATTGGACTGCAGTTGACTGTAATCTCTAAGCAATGGTGCGCATTGTGGTGTTGTGCAGATTTGTCATCAGGGTTAAACTGAAATAACATACAATAAATCCCTTTACTAGCTATTCATTTCTTTCAGTGGAGTAGGTTCAAGACAAGTATTTGCCCATGTTTCTTCTTACCCTGATTGTCATATAACCAACATAAGCATCCTCTGATCCCTCCATGAAGACAAAGGTTGAATCTCTTGTGTTTTCAATAATAACTTTATCTGCTACTTTCCCAGGAGCTTTACAAAAATATAAAATTTGTAAATAAATTACTAGATGAAAATTACAAACCATAGTTTCTAGTTTCTTTAAAAAGTAATAACACAGAATCTGCCATCATTTTTTTTTCAAAATCAAACTTTATATTGAACAGTTCAGATGAGTTTGGATTGTTTTAAGTATATTGAGACATTCAGTCCAGTAACTTTATTTAAAAAAAATTCAAAAATTGTTTTTTCTCATATTTAAATCAGACATTAATTTTAGTTTTAGTAGAAGAAACTATACCCTCAATCAAAGCTCAAATGACAAACAATGACTTTCATACAGTGGACATGACAAGCAAAGAGAAAATCTTTATGCTTATTTAAGAAAATAGATAGACAAAAGAAAACCCGCAATGCAATGGATTAATGCAACAACAGTCATAGTTGTTATTCTAATAACGATCAGTCACCTAACTGAAGAGAGAACAACTATCCATAGAGTTGTCATGAGCCAATATTGACTTCACAACACAATCTCATTCAGGGCAGAGAAACAGAACACAAAACTGATTATAAAGTATTAAAGAGTTCAGGTTGTTATATACTATTGTAAAGTTCTTAAAACCAAAATAAGTTATAATGGTACCTATATCTGCACTAAGTTTAAGCAAATGAATATCTATTTGAAAAACCACCAGGAGCACAAAGTTATAATTAATCATTTGAATTTTAATCTCAGCAGTGCTAATGTACAAACTAGCCAGCTGTAAAAATGAAAGAGTACATTTTCAAGATAAATTCAGCACAGGAAACATGCTGTCATTTTGGAACATTTTTTCCATTAAATCTAAGGAAGGTATCCATTCCATCTGATATTGATAAGGGGATGGATAGGAACAAATGGATAGGTGACAAACAACAGGGAGAAAGCAGAACTATTTAACTCGTGTTTTGCATCTGTCTTTACACAAAGGGAAAAAACAGACCAACCTATCAAAAATAGTGCCATAAAAAACAAAACAGAAACACAAGTTAAGATAGGCAAGAAAATGGTTAGGGAGCACCTGTCCAGCCTAGATGAGTTCAAATCGCCAGGACCAGATGGATTACACCCCAGAGTTCTCAAGGAACTGGCAGCTGTAATATCGGAGCCACTGAACTATATTTTTCAAAGATCCTGGAACACAGGGAAACTACCAGAGGACTGGAAAAGAGCTGATGTAGTTCCCATCCTCAAAAAAGGAAAAAAAATGGATCCAGGGAATTACAGACCTATCAGCCTGACCTCAATACCTGGGAAGATCCTGGAAAAGATAATCAAACAACGAATCAACGAACACCTAGAGGCAAACAAAGTCATTACTAAAAGCCAACAGGGGTTTGTCAAAAATAGATCATGCCAGACAAATCTTATTGCATTCTTTGACCAAGTGACAAAATTAGTGGATCAGAGAAATGCTGTGGACATAATTTACTTAGGACGTCCGTAAGGGCATTTGATAAATAGATCACAACCTACTATGACAAGATAGAAAAAATGTTTTTTTTTGGTGGTAGAACAGAGAACCACCACCAGTGGATCCGTACGCCTGGATGACAAGCCGTTTACTCAGCGATTGGTATCAAATGGAACTGCATCTATATGGAGGGAAGTGTGTAGTGGGGTGCCCAGGGCTCTGTTCTGGGCCCAGCCATGTACTTTCAACATATTCATCAATGACTTGGAGAAGGATAGATGGGGAACTCATTCAAAGTTGCAGCGACAGCAAGTGCAGGAATAGCCAACACTCCAGAAGACAGGCTTAAGGTACAGAAGGATATGGACAGACTTAAACACTGGGCACTAACTAACAAAATGAAATTCAATGGTGAAAAAAGCAAGGTTCTACATTTAGGCAAGAAAAACCAAATGCACAAGGACAGCATAGGTGGCACCATGCTCAATAGGAGTAACTGTGAGAGGGACCTCGGAGTCCTAGTAGACAATCACCTAAATATGAGCCAGCAGTGTGCTGCAGCTGCCAGAAAGGCCAACACAATGCTAGGCTGCATTAACAGAGGGATAGAATCAAGATCACGTGAAGTATTAATACCACTCTACAATGCCTTGGTACGGCCACACTTGGAATACTGCATCCAGTTTTGGTCACCACGATGTAAAAAAGATGTTGAGACTCTAGAAAGAGTACAGAGAAGAGCAACCAAGGGGGATGATTAGGGGACTGGAGGCTAAAACATATAAGGAACGGTTGCTAGAATTGGGTTATGTCTAGTTTAACGAAGAGCAAGGACAAGGGGGGACATGATAGCAGTGTTCCAATATCTCAGGGGCTGTCATAAAGAAGAGGGAATTAAGCTATTTTCCAAAGCACCTGAAGGCAGGAACAAGAAGCGACAGGTGGAAACTAATCAAGGAGAGAAGCAACCTAGAACTAAGGAGAAACTTCCTGACAGTGAGAACAATTAATCAGTGGAACAGCCTGCCTCCAGAAGCAGTAAATGCTCCAACACTGGAAGTTTTTAAGAAGAGACTGGACAGCCATTTGTCGGAAATGGTGTAGGGTTTCCTGCCTGAGCAGGGGGTTGGACTAGATGACCTCCAAGGTCCCTTCCAACTTTAACTATTATAGTATTATATATTATATTGTAATGGAGTTTGGCTTGGACAAATGTGCCACACTTACTATAAAACAAGGAAAAATAATGAAAACTGAAGGAATCAAGATGCCCCACGAAAATAACATTAAGAGTCTGGATGAGGAAGAGTACTACAAATATTTGGGTATCATTCAAGCTGACAACATCAAGCACACTGAAGTCAAGAAAAAGATTAGAGGTGAATACATCAAGAGAGTGAAGAAGATCTTAAAATCAAAACTCAATGGAGGAAATACCATAAAGGCAATCAAACACCTGGCAATCCCAAGTCATTAGGGATACGCTGAATAAGTGGACGGACTCAAGCCAGAACCTAAAAGCAATGGATAGGCAGACCAGAAAAATAATGACAATGAATCATGCCCTTCATCCACGCACAGTGACATTGATAGACTTTATTACCAAGGAAAATAGGTGGGGTGGAATGCTACAAGTACATCAGATGGTTGAAGAAGAAAAAATGGCTTTAGAAGAATATCTGAAGAACAATGATGAAGATGCACTGAAATTAGTATATCAGGAAGGCTTACTAACTACCGGAGAGACCAAACTGGCCTACAAGAAAGACCAAATGAAGAACAGAATAGAGGCATGGGAAGACAAAGCACTACATGGCCAATACATGAAAAAAATAGCTGGAAAAGCAGATAATAATAAAACCTGGCAATGGCTAAGAGCAGGAAAATTGAAGAAAGAGACCGAGGGATTAATTCTGGCTGCACAAGAACAAGCCTTAAGGACAAATGCATACAAAGTCAAAATTGAGAAGACAGCAACAGACAGTAAGTGCCGCCTATGCAAAGACGCTGAAGAAACAGTGGACCACTTGGTAAGCTGTTGCAAGAAGATTGCACAGACTGATTAAAAGCAGCGGCATGACAAAGTAGCAACAATGGTGCATTGGAAGATCTGCAAAAAAATATCATTTGCCTGTAAGCACCAAAAACTGATGGGGATCATATTAAAAATAGAGAAAGTCATAGAAAATGATAAAATTTAAAAACTGCTCTGGGGACTTCAGACAAGCACCTGCAAACATAACACCCCAGGACTAACAATTGTCGATAAGAAAGAAAAAAGTCTGGTATGGACGTGCAGTGCCTGGAGATAGCAGAATATGAAGGAGAAAGAATTGGAGAAGATAACCAAAAATACAAAGACCTACAAATAGAAATAGAAAGGACTGTGGCAAAAAAGCAAGCAAGGGTTATACCAATAGTCATAGGCTCCTTGGGTGCAATCCCAAAACAACTGGAGCGCCACTTGAACACCATTGCATTGACAAATTCGCTATTAGTCAATTGCAAAAGGCGGCCTTACTAGGAACTGCTTCCATCCTGCGACGATATCTGTAATACCATCAAACATCCACATCTGCCTATCCCAGGTCCTGGGTAAGGACTCGATAGGTAGACAAAAAGCCAAATCCAGTCTGAACATTTGGCTGACTGTGCAATGATCCATAATAATAATATACAACTGGAGCACCACTGAACACCATTGGCATTGACAAATTTGCTATTAGTCAATTGCAAAAGGTGGCCTTACTAGGAACTGCTTCCATCCTGCGATGATATCTGTAATACCATCAAACATCCACATCTGCCTATCCCAGGTCATGGGTAAGGACTCGATAGGTAGACAAAATGCCAAATCCAGTCTGAACATCTGGCTGACTGTGCGATGATCGATAATAATAATAATAAGATACAAATAGAAATAGAAAGACTGTGGCAAAAGCAAGCAAGGGGTAGTACCAATAGTCATAGGCTCCTTGAGTGCAATCCCAAAACAACTGGAGCACCACTTGAACACCATTGGCATTGACAAATTCGCTATTAGTCAATTGCAAAAGGTGGCCTTACTAGGAACTGCTTCCACCCTGCGACGATACCTGTAATACCATCAAACATCCACATCTGCCTATCCCAGGTCCTGGGTAAGGACTCGATAGGTAGACAAAATGCCAAATCCAATCTGAACATCTGGCTGACTGTGCGATGATCAATAATAATAATAATAATAATGTTGGAAGGGACCTTGAAGGTCATCAGGCAGGAAACCCTATACCATTTTAGATAAATGGCTGTCCAGTCTCTTCTTAAAAACTTCCAGTGTTGGAGCATTCACAGCTTCTGGAGGCAGGTTGTTCCACTGATTAACTGTTCTGACTGTCAGAAAATTTCTCCTTAGTTCTAGGTTGCTTCTCTCCTTGGTTAGTTTCCATCCCTTGCTTCTTGTCCTGCCTTCAGGCACTTTGGAGAATGACTCCTTCTTCTTTGTGGCAACCCCTGAGATACTGGAACACTGCTATCATGTCCCCCCTCATCCTTCTCTTCATTAGAATATGGAGATTGTGCCTTCAGAATCTGGAGTTTTTTATGAAAAGACTCATAACCATCTCTCATGAATAGTTTGACTGGCTTCCCTGCATATTGCAGGTCTTTGCAAAGGTGATCCTTGTGGTCCTCTCCAACTCTTCAATTCAATAATTCATGTTATAAACAATAATTTTAAATCACAGTGGCTGGGTGCTAGAAGATGTTTGTACTCAGGATGTTTGAATCAGTATGGGGAAGTGGATACTTCCCATTAGGAAAATATATCAAGGGTTCTGACAGCTAATACCCTGTTATGAATTGGAAAAGGTTTGGATTAAGTGAAAGTTGTACTTGGAGAAAAGACTTGGTGTGTCTTTTGTGGACAGGTAAAGTTTTCTGCCAATAAACTGAAGAAATCATTGAAATCTTTCTTAAATGGCTTAGTAAAATCATTGTGGATACTTGGTTAGGGAACCTTGGAAATAAATAAAACAGGGAGTGACTAACAAAAGAAATGAAAATGATGGGTTGACAGGGCATAATCTTGGATTTGGCATAAGATGACATTGTGACTATTATCTTGGAATTGTGCAAAATCTTGATCATGTCCCTTTATTTAGCGGCTGAGGAGCTTCTATTGCAAGACAGTTGCTCTCTATCAAATGGATAATGATTGGGAAAGGCAACCAAACATGGACCTTTGCACAACAGTTTAAGTCTGACTCAATTGCTGAAGACAAGAGGACTTTAATTGCTTGAGGATTATTATCTCTATGAGAAAAAAAAAAGACAAAGGATCAAGCTATTGAAGCGAGGGTGGAAGGCAGGGGAATAACTCTGCATATCAGATTGTTCCCTGTGGCTTATTTTGCTTGGGCTTTGCATCCCCAGAAAAGTTGCAAGGTTGAGAAGGCAGTGAGCAGATCTTCAGGGCATTCAAAAGAGTCTGGATCAATCTCAGACAATTTTATATTGGCCTCAGAAGAAATGAGACATAGAAAGGCAGGTTCTC